CTGCTGAAAGGAAGCCAACATTTGCCATTTATGACGGGATTTTGTAAAATTAAAGACTTCACCCCGACTAAAAACAATCCTCATTTTTTAATTGTTTCCTAAGGTGTCAAGTAAAACTATTTTAGGGATTGCTGGAAAGATACTGGCTCACATCTGTCATGTTTCAACAGTTTTGAAGAGAAAAGGAAATATTAACATAACACATTTTGTCACATTAGATAATGTCATAACTAAACAATTTAGAACTTGCAAACAGAACACTCGTACTGCATACGTCTTCGCCAGTCTTTTCAGAAGTAATGAGCCTCAGCTGTGAAAGGGTCTTACTTCATAAGGTATGTAATAAATCATTATCGGAGTGAACCCAGCTCCCATGTTGTTCGTTTTTGACTGCAATTATTAACACCTCGTGGGATTTCACACAAACGTTTAGGCTAAGAAAATAGTTAAGTGTATTTTTATTCACATGAAGTTATTACACACTATTAATGTTTCTTCTAGCCACTTGTGAACTTTAGCGTCCTTTTTGATCAGAGCAGAAGTTGCGAGTAACACACTCGGTGGGAAAACATGAGAGCAATTCTGCCCCTTCGTACTAGGCAATTTAGCCTTGTAAAGCCTGGCTTTGCAGAAGGAGTTCTGTTTTTGAGGGGGGAGTAAAACAGCAGGCTCTAATAAGCAGTTAATTATCGTAGCAGAAGGTAAGCAGATTTTAGATCTGGACGGTGAGGTTCCAAAACAGCTTTGAAAAGTCAAACCTATTTCTGGCACCCTGAAGCTGTACGTCAGAGCCTTTCAGGGCTGAGCAACGTGCCTACATATAATTCTGCAGAAGAGCAAGTACTCACGTGCCCTTGATCGTCCAGCTCATTATTGGTAAGCTTCAGTTTGTCGAAGCTGATGACTTGTCTCATCCACGTCTCCCCGGAGGCGGGTGAATCGGGGTGAATATAAACACGAGGCGGTACTGGGGAGTCAGCATTACCAGCCACCATCCACTTCGAGCTATGATAAACATACCTATAAAAAGAAAGCAAATACCTGTAACCACAAAACACGAAATAATTTATCAGACCCACTCAGTATGACTAAATCAGGGCCCATACACACAGCAAGAACCCACCAATCAACAAAACATGAAAGGAGACTAAATAAAAGGGGTTTTTTTTAGTTTCAAAACATAGTTCTGGTATCTGCAAAAGTAAGGTTAAACGCCATGCTCTCATCTGACCTTGGTCTTCTTAAAATCAGTAATAGCCCTAACACTAGGCTCCACACTGAGCTTTAAGCTTCTGTCAGCCCACTGATTGCTACAGCTCCGCTCTGAACAGGCATCAGCAAACAAGGAAGAATCTAGTCCTTCATTTATCAAATACAGTATTAAGTCCATATTTGGAAGATTTAACAGGTTGAGCCTAATACAAGAGTCTATAAATAAAGCTATTGAAAGGAAAGAACTTTATGACTGGGAAAAATAATGAAACTATGTCAAACTATGTTCTTGTTGTTTCTGCAAGATCTTGTTGATTTTCTTGAATAGTATCGCAGAAAGGCTTAAAAAAGAAAAAAAACACAGCCCATATTTCATTTGATAGGCCAATGCTGACAAAGTCATTTTCTAACAAAAATAATGTCTGCTTTGGTAGAGAACTTGTTTTAGAGGCTGACGCTTCAAAGGGCAATTTAAAAAGCACTAATTAAAAGCTTCAAGGTATTTTGTTCAAGTACAGTAAAATTCCAGTAATTCAGCTGTATTTAATAAAGACAAGAAAGCCTTTATCAAAACATTTGTTTGTACAGTTCAATTCCTTATTAGAAAGGGACAAACAGCATAAATGGAAATTAAAACAAACTGATCCAATACATGCATCGCTCCATACAATATGTATCAAACTGGAAAATTAAGATCTAGAAGGGTGGTGAAACTCTCTCCTGGAGACAAATTCTCAACCCCAGATCATACAGTCAACAGTTGTAACAGTTTTCATCTATTGAGTATTTGTTGCTCTATACTGAACACACGCTTCCCCTACAAAAGTAAATAAAGTCATAAATACAGATGAAATATTCTGAGCAACAGCTTAAGGTTTCACGTATTTACAAGGTCCAATTTTGCTAGAAATCTAGACCTAGATGTTAGTTTCTTCATTTCCATTTAGTTTTGCTGTCTGCTCTGACAGCTGAAGCGTAGGCTCCACGTGACTGCTGCTGTTTCTTCCAAAAGTAAAGATCTGCGAGACAGTCTGTAAAGCCACATCAGCAGTCAAAGTTAAAATAGCAGTCAATATAATCACAGACCGCACAGCAAAGAATGAAAAGCAGCGTCAAGTCAAACACTTAAAACGTTAATATTTAGCGGGAAGATTCAGCATGTTTTCGTAATACGTAGTTACAGAAATTTAACTTTGCCAACTGAGAAAATACTGCCCCTCACACAATTTTCGTTAGGTTACTTCAGTTAGCTGGGCAGCATGTATCACACTGGCAGGCACTGCAGCTCAGTAGGACTGTATTTATTTTAAATACAATGAGGTTTAAACAACTCATATTCGAAATAATTTCTTTTAGTTTTTAATACAGAAATCTTTATTAATTTGGGAATAATTACCTCGCTTTTTCTATGAATTAAGGAATTGATCAGACCTTCTAGGAATTATAAGCTAAGTAAATGCAGCACATATGCACCACAAAGCAAGAAAAGGGCTTTCTTTTGAGCTGCAGTGGACTGGTGCAGAGAAAAAAAGCAATTTTTCTCTACGTTACAGCCAGAAAAGCCTCTCCTAGCTGTATGTACCAGACATCCTCAGCACCAGCATCTGCACCTTGTTGAAAAACACAAAATCTCAAATCGTCCCAAGGAATGCCTTGCCCACCGCACGAGAACAGGACAAAATCGCAGTCGATGAGGTAGGGGCACGGAAAAAAACACAGGGCAGTGTTTGCTTAGGAAACCAGGCAGCATTCCTGTCTGGGTCTGAAATGTTCCCAGTTCCACAACGGAATCTGCGGCGGTTTTCCCTGCATTACGCTAAGTATAGGGTTGAAACAATCAAACCAGCAGTTGGTGGGGACCTGATGCTGCCCACGCTGAACTGCTTGGCCAGGGTCCTCCCGGCCACCGCGGAGCAGGGGATCGCATCTGTCCAGCGAGACCTACAAAACCCCTACACCTCGCACCAGCAGCTGCTGCGGGCCCGATCCTGCACACGCTTCCACAAGGACCACTGGCTCCAGCAGAGCCCAGCCAGCTCCCTCGAAACACGACTGCCCTCGCCGCAGTGAGAGTTTCAGCGCCGAACTCCTACTCTTCAGTGTTCGAAGAACGACTACCTTTGTTCCTCACGTCACTCTTCAGACTATAAGGCCGTCAATTCTTTAAAAAACGGTAATGAGAAACATTACCCGTTGTGAATCCAAGCAGCCAAATATCCGAGTGATAAACAGCTTTTAAATTAAATGATATAATCAATTTGAAGCATGACCAAGAAAGCTTATATGCCACTAAATCAGATATCAGTACTATTAATGCTATTAATGTTAACGCCATTTAGCACTAGAAAAATTTGCATTCTCATATTTATTTGTTAATAGGAAATAATTCCCACCGACGTGATGAGGAACAAAATACGATAACATTTCCTGACCGCACCAGAACCGCACTCTCTGAAAGCCAAAGCCTGAGCATCTGCCCACAGCACAGACGTAACATGAGGCAAACATACAAAGAGCTTCAACAAGAATTTCAGTTGGTTTTGCGTATTTGGCACAGTTATGATTTTTTTTAAAATGCACCGGGATGAATGCAGGAACCTGAAGGAGAGTTAAACACGACCTTCTGCTAATTTATATAGTGTTAATGTTTTCTTCCCGTAGCCAAGCTCCCTGTGGCTCGCATCGTATGATCTTTTGCCTTAAAGTCACCATACCTGTATCTTTTGTTATCCACTGGCACAATATCCATGGCGATATAATACTGCTGGTGTGGGTCTAAACCTGAGATCTTCACTCTCATTGCGGGAAACATCCGCCTGAACATGGGAAGAGAGAGGTCATTTTTAATACGAAACAGACTCGGGGATGGTCATTTAGGAAAAGTAACCGGTTGGTGGGATTTTTCTCGTTCTTCCTTTTAGCCTGCGGAGTCCTTTCGGACGATTACCGTTACAGAGCCATGAAACGGCCCGTTCGACATGTCAAAACAGATTTCGAAAGCGCGCTGAACTCGAACAATGCTCCGTATGTTCGGGGGTACGCTCTGGGAGCACAGCTATTACCACATCATTTCAGCTTTATTGTTAGACAGTAAATCACTCGGGGGTCCCGAGGCTCGACTTCGGCAGCACACGCGTTTCAAGCCCCGTTGGAGATCACCGGCTGGAAACGCGTCCCCGGGGCTGTGCGACCAACCACCTCCACCCCCCAGGACCCTTACGCCGGCGGGGGTGCGGACCC